GACCCCACCAGGAATGGGAGTCTTCTCTCGATGGCGAGTGAAGGCGAGCAGGGGGAGGGCCGGGGGACCACGTTCTCCGTCCCACAGGCCGAGAGGAGATGCTCATGGCAGCCAGATTCTGAGATCTCTGCATCTGAAATCCCACGACCCTAAAGAACCTCCTTGTAGCAGGACCTGACTTCACACTGGGATCCTGGCTTCTACATTCCCACCTGTCATTAGTCCCCCCGCTTGGGTCATGGTTATAACTACTGACCCACAAAAAATACAGGGCGGGGCCAATTCAGACCTGAGCTCCGCCCTGCGAGGAGAAACATGACCAGGAAGGAGCTGTGGCTCCCGCCTCGCCGATGGGACCCGCCTGGCCCCTGCACTGAGCAGTCATCCAGCCAGACTCTCTGGATTTGAGAAACGGGAGGGCGAGCTCCCTACTGGGAAAGCGTCCTGCCCACGCTCATGAGTGAGGTCCAGCTTTTAGCCTCCCAACGGCACCTGGAATTTGTCTTTCAGCACCATCATCACGATCTCGAAGGACTTCTCCTTCCTGAAAGGCATGTCGTAGGTGATCTCCTCCCGCCCCCATTTCTCGTTTTTCAGAGTGTTGCACACGATGCAGTTGGTCCTTTTGAAACGGGGGTTGAAGTGGAAGACCACGTCCGCTCGAGGGTTCACGCTGCTGCCGCACTGTAGGTCCACCTGGAACCTGGGAGGAGAGACGGCTCTGAGCACCGGGAGAGGGAGGCCGCACGGAGTGGGGGCCCACAGCAGGGACTCCAGGCGGAGGAACACATGGCGGACCCTCTCCTCATTCACCCACAGGGCCTAACCACCCTTCCTTCGCTTCTTCCTTAGTAACGGACCCCAGAGCTGGGGCTGGGGCCCCGTCTGTCCAGAGGGAGCCTCCATTCTCCAGCCTCCCTAGTCCATCCCCTGGCCTTCCCCACAAACAGCACATGCGCCCACCCGGCTACCCAACGCACGATGTGAGGCTGCAGTTCTAGCGCCAAGAATCACGGGGAAGAGGCCTTCACCTGGGACAGCAGAGCGGACGCCAGAGGAGGCCTGCTTCTTTAAGACTTGGCAGCACTGCCTTAAGCGCCTGGGCTGTCTCCCTCAGACCCAACTCTTTCCTTTAAGCCATTGTCATGTGGGCGGCAGCCACTGACCTGAGCCCAACTCTAACAGATACGGCCTCGTCCACAGTTTGTACCCAGCCCATCAGATGAAAACTACTTCAGACCCGACTCTTTCCTTTAAGCCATTGTCATGTGGTCAGCAGCCACACTGACCTGAGCCCAACTCTAACAGATACGGCCTTGTCCACAGTTTGTACCCAGCCCATCAGATGAAAACTACCCAAACGGGCCTTAGGAGACGCTGTGGGGGTGACCCTGCAACTGGAATCTGTCCGTCATCTGACCACAGTTCCCCTCACTAACCACACATCCAATCTATATATATAAAAGCCTAAGCGACCGTTATCGATGACACACACTGACCACCAGGGGGCAGACGCTCAACACACAGGCATGGAAACATGGAACAGACTGATGAATCTCAGAGGGAAGGGGGGCGGGGGGAGGGTGGGAAGAGATTAACCAAAGATCTTATATGCATACTAGAGGCCCGGTGCCCTGAGCCTAGCCTGCGGGGATCGGGCTGAAACCGGCGGTCTGACATCCCCCAAGGGGTCCTAGATTACAGGAGGGCGCAGGCAAGACTGAGGGACCCCACCAGTGCACAAATCCGTGCACCAGGCCTCTAGTTCTTTATAATGAGATCAGACTTAGAGCAATAAAATAAAAAACCCAAATAATGTCTATTTCAGTCACTCATTCCAATCTCAGCATCTGGGCCAGGATACTGATGGAAGCAAAATCAGCCTCAAGTACCTTAATGTCTCTCCTACGTTATGTTATTGTCACAAGGAGACAGTTTCTTCGAGTTCTTCTTCATCGAATGCAACGATCTTACCTGTCCGAGTCCCCGGGAACGTGCCCACGGATCACAATCAAAGTTCCAGGCTCCAACTGCTCAGGGATGGTCCCAACATAGGGGATTATCTGGGGGAAATAATTTGAACAAATATGCTTTTACAAGAAGCGGAAAGACTACATTGTTAAGCCCCACGTTTTTATCACATATAAACCCAGCATTTCCCAAGTGGCCCGCACTGTTTTCAAACAGCTACGCAGTCACTGCAGCCCTGGGGTTGCTCACAATCCTGCCAAAGGTAGAAAGTGACTGCAGAGGACTCGGTTACCGGGTTGTAGATGACATTCTGTAGGTTGTTCAAGGACAGCATCTTTCCCCTCCACTTCAGCGTTGGTTGCGGTCTCTCTTCCGTGTGTGAGCTCAGATTTTAAGCAAGTTTCTTTTAAAGGTTTCCTCGAATGAAACGGAGGCAGTTGCCCTGTGCAAAATCAAAACAGAGGGGAAAAAATGCATCACTTTTCTTTATATCATAATTATTCTTAAAGGTAAGTTAGAAATTATTTCACTGATATTTGTCAAATAACAGGATGCTATTGTAGTCAAAGATCTGATCCCAATTCTCACCGAGTATACTTATATTGGCAGCAAAATCTCAGACATCCAGGTCTGAGGTGATACCTTGTCATTTTAATTTGCACCTCTCTGATGATCAGTGACTTTGAGCATTTTTTCATATGTCTCTTGGCCATCTGTGTGTTCACTTTGGAGAAGTGTCTATTTAGGTCCTTTGCCCATTTTTTAATGGCATTGTCTTCCTTTTGTCAAGTTGTATGAGTTCCCTGTATATTTTGGATATTAACCCTTTATCAGATGTATCGTTGCCAAATATGTCCTCCCATACAGTGGGCTCCCTTTTCATTTTGTTGATGGTTTCTTTTGCTGTGCAGAAGCCTTTTATTTTAATGTAGTCCCATTTGTTTATTTTATCCTTAGTTTCCTTTGCCCTAGGACAGTGATGGCAAACCTTTTGAGCTCGGCGTGTCAGCATTTTGAAAAACCCTAACTTAACTCTGGTGCCATGTCACATATAGAAATTTTTGATATTTGCAACCATAGTAAAACAAAGACTTATATTTTTGATATTTATTTTATATATTTAAATGCCATTTAACAAAGAAAAATCAACCAAAAAAATGAGTTCACGTGTCACCTCTGACACGCGTGTCATAGATTCGCCATCACATGTATCCGTAAACATATTGCTACGAGAGATATCTGAGATTTTGCTGCCTATGGTTTCTTTTAGGATTTTTATGGTTTCATGACTTACATTAAGTTTTTTAACCATTTTGAGTTTATTCTTGTATATGGGATAAGCTGGTGGTCTAGTTTCATTTTTTTGCATGTGTCTGTCCAGTTTTCCCAACACCATTTATTGAAGAGACTGTCTTGACTCCATTGTATGCTCTTGCCTCCTTTGTCAAATATTGAGTGTAATGGGGGATTTCTGGGGTCTCTGTTCTGTTCCATTGATCTATATGCCTATTCGAGTGCCAGTACCAGGCTGTCTTGATTACAGTGGCTTTGTAGCGTAACTTGAGATCTGGTATTGTGATTCCTCCAACTTTGTTCTTCTTTCTCAGGATTGCTGAGGCCGTTCGGGGGCCTTTTTTTGTTCCATCTGTGAAATATGCTGTTGGTATTTTCATGGGGATTGTACTGAATCTGCAGATCGCTTTGGGAGTATGGGCATTTTAATGATGTGAATTCTACCAATCCATGAACACGGTATATTCTTCCACGTAGTGTTTATCTTCCTCTTTTTTTTCAGCATCCTGTAGTTTTCCGAGTACAGGTCTTCTACCGCCTTGGTTAAGTTTATTCCTAAGTTCCTTAATTTTGTTGTTGTTGTTGTTACAATAGTAAATGGGATTGTTTAGTTTCCTCTTTCTTTTTTTTTAAAGATATATTTTATTGATTTTTTACAGAGAGGAAGGGAGAGGGATAGAGAGTTAGAAACATTGATGAGGGAGAAACATCAATCTGCTGCCTCCTGCACACTCCCTACTGGGGATGTGCCCGCAACCAAGGTACATGCCCTTGGCCGGAATCGAACCTGGGACCCTTCAGTCCGCAGGCCGACGCTCTATCCACTGAGCCAAACCAGTTGGGTGGTTAAGTTTATTCCTAAATTCCTTAATTTTGTTGTTGTTGTTGTTGCAATAGTAAATGGGATTGTTTAGTTTCTCTTTCTGAGAATTCATTATTGGTTTATTTTTTAAAAAGCCACCGCCTTTTGGGTGTTGATTCTGTAACCTGCTACGCTGCCAAACTCACTGGAGTCTAGCAGTTTCCTGGTGGAGGCTTCGGGGCTTTCTAGGAACGATACCCTGTCACCTGCGAATAACAGTTTCCCTTCCTCCTTTCCCGGCTGGATGCCCTTCGCCTCTTCCTGTCTGATCGCTGCGGCCAGGACTTCCAGCGAGTGGTAAGAGCGGGGATGTCACCCCAAATTTTAAAAAGGACCCGCGGGTACACCGAGTAGCTGGAGGGAAGGCTAAGACTTACGAATGAAAAGAGGAAGGAAACTCGAGTTTCCGGAGTCCGGACCCGCCCGGAGCACCTGACCGGCCGCAGGTCACCAGAGCCCGGA